CTTGTGTCCGTCCTCCATGAGGATTTTGTGCATGCAAAAGGCTGGACTAATGCCCTTTATGTCAGACATCGTCCACCCAATTGCTCGCTTGTGCTCACGTAGCACTCTCAACAACTTTTCTTCCTGCAATTTAGACAAGTCAGAGGAAACAATAACAGGTAAAGTGTCAGAGTCTCCCAAATAAGCATATTGCAGGTGAGATGGGAGAGGTTTAAGCTCCAAGTTCGGGGCTTCCTCAATTGACGGCTTTGGAGGAGGTCCCTCTGGCCTGTTCAAGGGTTCAAAGGGGTGTATCCCCTGCATGTATGCACAAGATGTATCAAGGATGTGCTTCATCTCCTCGACCTCTTCATCATTCCCCAGGATATCAAACAACATAAGTGCTTTCTCTAAAGAATCGTCTAGATATACACTTGGATCACGAATTTGCTCATAAGCCTCAACAACAGATATCATGGAAAGCTCCTCATAGTGACGGGGAAGTTGGATTGCTTTGTAGACATTGAAAACTGCTTCCTCGTCATCTACCCTCAAGATCATCTTTCCCTCTCTCACTTTGATAATTGCGTCACCAGTAGCCAAGAGAGGTCGCCCCAATATGATTGGGACCAGTTCATCAGCCTCATAATCGAGGATAATGAAATCAGCAGGGAAGATAAATTTCCCAATTTGCAGCAACACATCTTCAATCACCCCCTCAGGGTGTGCTATCGATCTGTCAGCCAGCTGCAACATCACAGTAGTTGGCCTTGGAGCTCCCAGACCTAATTGCCTGAACAACGAAAGGGGCATCAAATTTATGCTTGCCCCCAAATCACAAAGAGCACGACCCACATCAATATTACCAATGCGCACAGGAATTGTAAAGCTGCCAGGATCTTTAAGCTTTTGAGGGAGCTTATTTTGAACCCTAGAAGTGCACTCCTCAGTAAGTGCAACTGTCTCAAATTCAGTTAATCTTCTCTTGTGAGCCACTATATCTTTTATGTACTTAGCATATAATATTCAATTGAACCTGGCTCAACATGGAGAGAAATTTGCTGAACATGCGATCATCATTCTTTTTCTGCAATCTCTGGGGAAAAGGTGTGGTGGCCTTGGGGCCTCCACTGGCTCTGGAATTTTAGCAGTCTTCTCTGGCTCGTTTGTCACTTTAGGGATCAACTCCCCCTCAGGTACGGACTTATCTTTCTTTTTCTTTGGCACTTCCTCAAGCTCCCTCCCGTTTCTAAGTGTAACTGCATTCACTTGCGGATTCTTTTTTGTGTCACTGGGGAGAGCGCCTGCAGGTCTAGTATTTTGATTTGTTGCTAACTGCCCCATCTGCCTCTCAAGATTTCTGAAGTCGGTCTTGAGCTGCTCATTGTCAATCAACAACTTCTTTAGTAAATCATTTGTGCTCTCTTCCATTTGTTGGGGTGGTCTCTGAGGCTGATTGAAACCCCCTTGGGGTCTATACTGATTCTGATTCTGCTGATTTCCACCCCATGGGAAGTTGGGATGATTCCTCCAATTTGGATTGTAAGTATTCCCGTATTGTGCATACTGGTTCGGTGGACCCCTGTTTTGTTGCCCCACATAATAGATGGATTCTGGATTCGTGGGGCACATATCACTCATATGACTGTCGCCACACAGTTCGCAGCAAATAGTCATCTGTTGTACCTGTTGCATTGATTGTGGCTGCTGCATTGTTATCCTAGTCATCTGATTAGCCAGCTTTGCAATTTCGGCTCTCATTGCTGACACCTCGTCGAGCTCAAGTAACCCAGCTGATTTTTGCTTAACTGCCTTTCGTGAGTCACCATCACCTTGCCAGTTATTATCATTAGCAGTGAAAGTATTCAGCAAGAGTTGGATTTCACTGTATGGTTTGGCCATGCAGCTATACCCACAAGCTGAATCTAGATTCATCTTTGAAACATCATCTAGCCCATCTACAAAAGTGTGACCCAATACCTCGTCTGTCTGGCAATGATAAGGACAGTCTCTGAGCAACTTCTTGTATCTTTCCCATGCTTGACGAAGTGTCTCGCCAGCTTGTTGTTCGAACCCAAGAATTTGACTCCTCAACATCTTTGTTTTCTTGGTGGGAAAGAGCTTGATTAAGAACTTCCTTGCCAGATCATCCCACATGCAGATTGAATTAGCTGGCTCCTTATTCAACCACTCCTTAGCTTCCTCGAGCAGAGAAAAGGGGAAAAGTGTCAGCCTGACATAGTCCTTGGAAACGTTCGGATAGTTGTAAGTATCCGTAATTTCCAAGAAATTCAGAATATGTCTCCGTGGGTCTTCATGAGGTAGACCTACAAATTGCCCTGTGGACTAGATCAGCTGCACCATGTATTGTTTCAGTTCAAAGTGCCCAGTGATATCAGGCTTCACGATAGCCAGAGTCATATTAGCCAGACTGGGCCTTGCGGCTTCAATCACCGCGCGTTCCTCATTACCTGCCATCTCAATTGGCTGTGGTTGAACTACGATGTCCAACTCTCTTTCACTTCTAGTTCTCGCGTCCACCTCCCTCCTCAATCTATGAAGCGTTTGTTCAATTTCGGGATCGAGAGGAAGGAGATTGTTTGTGCTTCTACTTCTTCGCATTCAACAGAAAATCCTGTATTAGCACAACCCAAGTGAACTGAAAGTTAAAACTCGAATAAATAAATAATAAAAGCTCAAGTAAGTCAAGTAGCTAATTTCTAAGTCCCCGGCAACGGCGCCAAAAACTTGTTGCGACCAAAAAGACCCACGCAAGTGCACGTGATCGTCAAGTAATAGAGTAGTGAGTAGAGTATCGTTCCCTCGAAGACTTGTGATCAACTATTGACTGATTCAAACCCAATTACTTTACTTATTCAAGAGATGCGTCACAGAATAAAGATGTACTTATTTTACTACCTAAATTATCAAGAAATAATCTAACTAAAGCAATTAACCAAACGAATAGCAGTTTCGAATAACACACAGTAGGAGAGGATATTCCAGGGTCACGGGCTAGTTAACAATCTTGTTGTGTCCTTAGCTTAAGATGACTAATCGATTTATCTGGGTTATTGATTGACAAGGTTTATATTACTCGTAAGAATCTGTCGACTTCTTACTCGCCTGCTCAAGTTAACTCAATGCCTATATTTCTATGGAATTAAGATTAACAAGAACGCATTTACGATTCCTGTATTTTAACCAAGCAAGGCAAGTGGGTATATGTCTATCCCAATTGCAAATCCGTTCCCCGAGGCCCGGGTTCAAGAACCTGCTCTATTTAATTCTATATGCAACCTAGAATTCCCACTTTCGAGTTCAACTCTAGATTCATAGATAGTGTTTCACTGTTAGCTACTCAGCAAAACAATTAATAACAGAATTAAATAAACAACCCAAGATGATAAACCAACTTGTCAAATTAAACCACAAACAACAACATTCATGTTTTACCATGACCCTAGAACAATGGGCTTTAGCCACTCATACTATTGTTCATAACAAGTATATTCAATTTTATCATAAATAGCAAAAACGAAGAGAAGAAAAGAAAAACTTGATGATCCAATTTCCTCCTTGCCTCTTGCCTCTCTCTGTCTTGCTTTAGCCTATGAAAACCTTGATAAAAACTTCCTTGGGCGAGCTTGACCTTATATAGGTTAAGTGAATTTTTTCTCCAGATTTCCACTTTTGCCCTTAATGAACCATCGCCGGATTTTGGACTAGCGCTGCAGCGCATCTGGCCGCGCTAGTTTGCTGAGGTTCTGTCTTGGCCGCGCACTTATTAGCGCTGCAGCGCATTTGGGCGCGCTAGCCCAGTTGTGTTGTGGCCTTGATATTTTGCCTTGTCTTCAACCATACAAAACTCTGAGGGATCTTTGTTGCTCCAAAATGGTTCCAAATCACATTTTCTAGCATAATATAAGCTCCTTAACATGAGATATATACAATTCACAATTAGAGCCCATATTTCATCAATTAATCATAATATGACCTTGGAATATAATCAAGCGAAAGCATACATAATAGCAAAATCATCTATTATTAAACCGCCCTATGAACCTGAATTGATGGGGTCAGCGTGACTAAGATGTTGGATGAGAAAAAGAATATAATTAATGTCAAGTAAAATAACCGAAATATATAATAAATGAATTAAAATAATATAATATAATGTAAAAAATAAATATCGTGAGTCGGCAACCGACTTGCAAGTCCCCATGATATTGCATCAACTGTTGAAGTGAAGTGATGTGATCCAATATGGGCGCCTTGAAACTCGTTTACTCTTTCATCTATCAATATATAATCACACTACACTACAGTACTTGCTTTGACTCCACTATTTAAGATATTTTAATCAATCATTTATAATATAAGTCCATTACGTTCAGCGCCTATTCTTCTTTCTTCACTGCCTTAGCTTCAATAACAAATATTAACCATAAAAACTCTCTCTCTCTCTCTCTCATTCTTCCTAGAACTAGAATTACAAGAGGTTTCATCAGAATTATCCCCTACGTTTAGTACTTAACTGTTATATTGTCAGATCGGTCAAAAATCTTTCGTCTGGAGAAACATGTTGAGACTTGGGGTTTTAGTAGTAGTATTATATTTCCTGGTATATTTGGGTGATAATAGAAAAAGTGTTGAAGGGCTAGGAGTAAACTGGGGAACAATGGCAAGCCACCCATTGGAGCCAAAAATAGTGGTGCAAATGCTGAAGGATAATGGTATAAAGAAAGTGAAGCTGTTTGATGCAGATAAAACAACTATGAATGCACTAGCAGGTACTGATATTGAAGTTATGGTTGGCATTCCTAATGATCAACTTCTTACTATGACTGATTATGATCGAGCTAAAGATTGGGTTAGACGCAATGTCACTCGCTACAATATCAAATCAGGTGTTAACATCAAGTAAGATATATTACTTCTTTTATTTTGCTCCTTTCATTTCCCATTCTTCTTTCGATTATTGCTCTTTGCTTCATTCTTGCATCCACGTTTCTTATTTTATCGAGTGCCTGATACTTCTTCCGGTCCATAATAAGTGACCAATTTTTTTATTTTTTTTATTTTGGTCCAAAATAAATGTTCATTTATATAATCAAGAAAGAATTCAATTTATTTTTACAAAATTATCCTTATGTACATATTCCTAAAAAGCTTTCTTACTCCTAACATTAAATATTTAATTAAGGATAGTTTAGTCATACTAGGTATTTTTGTATAGAATTTAGTATTTTCTTAATGGGCGTGCCAAAAGCAAATTGGTCACTTATTATGGACCAAAGGGAGTACCTTCATCATTAATACAAGGCTTAGGTATTACTCCCTCCGTCTCATATTATCAGTCCTGATTACTAAAAATATTTGTCATTTTAGAAATTCAAGACAAAATATTAATTATTTTTTCCTTTTTTTTACCCTTAGTAATAATTATCTTTAAAACTACAAACAACTCAATTATGAACAACTTTGTTCAAATACCAATGAAGAACGATTAAATTTAAGACATGAATAAGGGTAAAATAGTCAAAATCTCATCCTAATTAATTTTTCTGAAGGGACATGTACAAGAGAATCATGACACATAATATGAGACGGGGGAGTAGATAAGGAAGATTAATTTTCTTTTTTCTTTTTGTTAGGACTTTGAACCCTCAATCTTGCTTAATTTTATTGATCACTAGAATATACCGTTGAGTGGACTAAACAAATATTCTTATAACTAAGACCATTAATTTACAAAAAATTTATAAAGTCAAATAATATGAACATGTTATAATTTCTGTTTTTCCTTTTTTTTCTTTTCGTATTATGATACTTTCATAGTTCCATGTGGAGATAATTTTATCCATGGTTATTGAACTTTTGTGTTTGTTACCCAAAAGTTATTTTTTTTTTGTTAGGTAAAAATCATTCAACTTTGTGTTCATTACACAAAAGTCACTTTTCTTTCTTTTGTTACACAAAAATTATTTTACTTTGCTCTAGTTATCACAAAAGTCACATTTTTATTTGAAAAGTCTATTATGCAATATTATATAAACATTCATATTTATTTAATACCTTCTATATTATATAATATATTTTTAACTATGTATTTTATTTATAAATAAATAACTTAATATTATTTTATTTATTATTTATATAATATATTCGTATATTTAATTTTAAAAATATATTAGTAGCGTTATTAAATTTGTCAGTAACTTTAATATATATTAGTAGAGAAATAAATCATCAAGTACATTTACGTGAGAAAATCCGCAGGTAAAGAAACAAAGAAAATGAGGAACAAATCATATGTTAATCTGAAGGAAAATCCCTAGGTACTACATGCGAATTTAGCTGGGGATATTTTCTTGGGGATTTACCTGGGCAATTGGTTATTTGGGAAATTACACTACTAGAAATTCGGGAAAAACCGTCCAAAAAAATCAACCAAAGTTGGTCGGTAATGGCCAATAACCGTCCAAAACGCGAACATTAACGTGTAATCGGTATTTTGAAGGTCGGAAGGGCATACCAACCAAAGTTGGTCGGTAATTTCCGACCAACTTTGGTTGGTCAATTAAATTCAAAAGAAAAAAGAATTGCTAAAAAAAAGTTATTTTTTAACGCTACTAATATATCTTGAAAATTAAAGTTAAGAAAAAATTAAATATACGAATATATTATAAAAATAATAAATAAAATAATATTAAGTTATTTTATTTATAAATAAAAAAAACATAGTTAAAAATATATTATATAATATATAATATAGAAGGTATTACATAAATATGAAGGTTTATATAATATCAAGGGCATAATAGACTTTTCAAGTAAAAATGTGACTTTTGTGATAACTAGAGCAAAGTAAAATGATTTTTGTGTAACAAAAGAAAGAAAAATGACTTTTGTGTAATGAACACAAAGTTGAATGATTGTCATTTGGGTAACAAACACAAAAGTTCAATGACGATAGATAAAATTATCTCGTTCCATGTGTAGTTGTTCCTCCTTGCGTAGCTTTCAAAAAGTAAATGCAAGATATGTGGATCTGTGCAGGGAGTTGAGTCTTCTTTATTGGTTTAATAACTTTATGATTCTCAATGCTCTACAATTTGCTTATAAATGCCGTGTCTTGATGTGTAGTATTATTAAACAAGCCAATTACAGCTAACTATTATAGCAAGCCTGGATTAATAACATGGCAAAATGACCTATACACTGTTACTGTGAAATTCTTTACACTGTCAGTATATATAGTATATATAAGTTAAACTCGAATTCAATTTTCTATGTCTGTTTTCTTAATCTTGATGCATTTTAATCTGTCTACAGATATGTGGCAGTTGGTAATGAGCCTTTTTTGACAGCCTACAACAACTCCTTTGTGAACTTAACATTTCCAGCTCTTCAGAATATCCAAAATGCACTAAATGAAGCAGGAGTAGGGGACTCCATAAAAGCAACTGTACCACTAAATGCTGATGTCTATTTTTCACCAGAGTCTAATCCTGTACCTTCTGCTGGTAGATTCCGAACCGACATAGCTGAACTAATGACACAGATTGTTCAATTCATGAACAAGAACCAAGCACCCTTTACTGTAAACATTTACCCCTTTCTAAGTCTTTATGCCAATGAACATTTCCCATTTGACTTTGCTTTCTTTGATGGTGCTAGCAACCCTGTAGTCGATAACGGGGTCGAATACACCAATGTCTTTGATGCCAACTTTGATACCCTCTATTCAGCATTAAAAGCAGTTGGTTATGGTAACATGACCATTCTAGTTGGAGAAGTTGGTTGGCCTACAGATGGTGACAAGAATGCTAATTTAAACAACGCGTATCGATTCTATAAAGGACTGTTTTCCAGGCTTGCAGCTAATAAAGGAACACCCCTTAGACCTGGATACATTGAAGTTTACTTGTTTGGACTAATTGATGAGGATGCTAAAAGTATTGCTCCTGGTAATTTCGAGCGACACTGGGGAATTTTTCGATACGATGGGCAGCCAAAGTTTGCTATGGACATTTCAGGTCAGGGACAAGATAAGCATCTTGTTGCTGCAAAAAATGTGCAATATCTACCTAAAAGATGGTGCATGCTTAATCCAAATGCTAATAATTTGAGCATACTTGCTAATAACATTGACTATGCTTGCACATTCTCAGATTGTACATCATTAGGATATGGTTCTTCTTGCAATAATTTAGATGCTAATGGAAATGCATCATATGCATTTAATATGTATTACCAGGTTCAGGATCAATTAGATTTGAGTTGTGATTTTCAAGGATTGGCAATGGTCACTGATAAGAATATATCTCAAGGTACTTGTAATTTTATTATTCAGACAGGTATTTACTCTGTCTCTTCCAAGGTTTTGCCTGGGATTGTTGTATTGCTAAGTGGCTTCACATTTCTTTTACTGTAGATATATTTACATGTGCTATTTTTGATAAATTTATTTGCATTACAGATTGTATTCAAGAATATTATTGGGTATCTCACCCTTCAATAAAAGTTTACAGGATTTGTGTTTTTTCGTTCCAATTCTCAGCTTCTTTTGTGATTGAAATGTGAGCTCAAAGTTGCTTTTCGTTATACTATCGGGAACAAAAAGTCCCCCAATGTTATCTAAGGGTCCAAAAAAACATTCTTCCACTAATGCCCGTCCAATTTGAAAAAACTCTTAGACAATTTTTTCATGCCACTTTTGACCCGATAGTATAATGTAGGGCAAGACTGAACATTTTCAAATAGCACATTGACAAATTTGGTCTTAAGTATTACTCAAGATATACTCAGTGGCGTAGCCACATACAATGAAGGCGGTCAGTTGAATATCTTTCATCGAAAAAGTATACCACATATGTTTACCCTCGAAATTGGATAACAATTGAATTTGTAAGTGGTTTTAAGGATACGTGGATTAACTTGACACAAAGCGACAAAATTAAGTTGCAATTGAAATGAACAATGATAAAGTAAATTCAAACCATACAACTTGAACAGTTATAGTCTTGGAAAGTCAGTCACACTTGAACTGGATGCAATTTGATCAATATCAAGATACAGAAGAACAAGAGCTTAAAGAAAGAAATTGATAATATACTGCTTTGGAATGCATATCACAGTGTCTTTTATAAGTAATCAGACCCCCTTTATATGGCAGGGGAGTCCCACTTTAGGTACAATTCTATAGAAGGTAAAAACCTCCTAATTTGTTGATTTGCCGGTTCCTAATTGATACGTGCCGAGATTCCCGCCGTAATATCCGACCGGTCACGGATATTTCGGCCTTCTGTTATTTTGGTCTTCTGTTGGTTATACTGACAATGTTTCCTCGAACTCGTTTGGGTCAGGGTCGATTCCGGGATCAATGTTCTCGAGGACGGACATTCTGATCTCGGGTTATGGCCCGGTGGGATCGGGGGTCGATCTTTAGTCCCTCATGTTCCGAGTCCAATCTACCACATCACAGGCGAGCCCGATTTCTGCCGTATACAGATAGTTCCCTCGTTTTTCGGAGAGTAGACAACGAGAAACGACATGAGCTCCCGATTCTCACCTCGATATCATGCGACGGAAACGACAAAATAAACGAAACGTCGCGTCAGTCAAGTCTTAATGGCATTAAATGCTCGTCAGTTGTCGCTCTGCCACTCCTGGATGCGAACCGTCATTTGAAAACTATAAGTACCCCTTCCCCATTCATTCAAACTTTACTTCCAAACTCTCTACCCTTGCTTCTTAGAAATTTCTCTATTTTCTGGTACTTATACTCTGATTTCTTGAGACCCTTTGTGAAGAATTTTGCTTGTCTCCACCCCAAATCATCAAGCGTAAACATGGCAAAATGACCTCTACACTGTTACTGTAAAATTCTTTACGCTGTCATTTTATATAAGTTACACTCGATTTCAATTTTGTATGTCTGTCTTCTTAATCTTGATGCATTTTAATCTATCTACAGATATGTGGCAGTTGGTAATGAGCCTTTTTTGACAGCCTACAACAACTCCTTTGTGAACTTAACATTTCTAGCTCTACAGGATATCCAAAATGCACTGAATGAAGCAGGAGTAGGGGACTCCATAAAAGCAACAGTACCACTAAATGCTGATGTCTATTTCTCACCCGAGTCTAATCCATGTACCTTCTGTTGGTAGATTCCGGACCGAACCAATGTGTTTGATGCCAACTTTGATACCATCTATTCAGTATTAAAAGCAGTTGGTTATGGCAACATGACCATTCTAGTTGGAGAAGTTGGTTGGCCTACAGATGGTGACAAGAATGCTAATTTAAACAACGTGGTGACTAAAGCTCCGAACCCGTAGGTCCAACAGAAGCTTGATCGGATCGAGCAGCTTCGGGCAGAGATGGATATGATAAAGGCCGAGGCCGATGAATGGAAAAGCAAAATGGACTGCTTGACCTCGGAAAAGGAGACTGCCCGGGCGCAATTAGCTTCGGCTGAGGTCCAGCTTCGGGAGTCAAAGGAAAAGGCCTTGGTGCAGGCCAATAAGATTGAGGAGCTCCAGTATCAGCTAAGTTCGGCCACCTTCGATCGAGGGACTCTAATCAAGGAGCTTGAGATGGCCAAGTCGTAGGCCGAGGTGATTAAAGTCGATGCTGATGAGATGGTGGTCCAATATAAGGCCGATGTCGAGGCGGCCCAGGTTCGAGCAAAGGATATCATCGAGCACGCAAAGCGGCAATATTGAAGGCTGGCCCTCGAGGAAATTCATGCTCGGGGTTTCGACTTATCGGCTGAAATTGAGAATGCCAAGGAGCTTGAAGCCGAGGCCAACAAGTGTGCTTATCCCGGGGATGATGAAGACTCCGAGTTAAGTGGGTCCGAGGGTGAAGGAGACCCTGAAGGTGATGAGGCGACCCCCGGTGAAGACTATGCCACTTAGGCTCCTTTCAGATGTTTTTTGCTTTTTGCTTTTTGTATTATCTTTCTGTTGAGGCCTTTTGGCTTTTGTAAAAAATTTGCATCAGGGCTGTCTGGCCCTTGTAAAAAAAATTTTAATATCTATATAAGACTTTTTCCCTTCAACAACTTCTTAATTTTTCCTTTTTTATTATTTATATTTTCAAAGATTGAAATGCCTTAGCATGAAATAGTTAGGTTACATTCGGAGGTTCGAATCAAGCCTTGCCTTCAATATTATTTTGTTTTAAGGCATTGTGGGGGATTTGGTGTGACCAGAAAATTTTTCCCAAAGTACTTATACTTTTTCAGATTATAGTTTGTCGAGGGTAGCCTTTAGAACTGGTTAAGAAATTTTAAGACCTTGTTGTTTTTGTTACGGGCCTCGGACTTCTCCGACCCGTTTTAATATGGCCGTAGCCTTTTTAGTTTGGGTATTGCCCAGTGGGCTTGTTATCCCGAGTTATCCGGGCTTGCCTAAAAAAGCAGTCCGCAAGTGGAGATGGTCGTAGCCTTTGAAGTTCGAGCATTGCCTAATAAGTCTTATGCTATCTGGCTTCGATAGCCCAGGCCGTCCGAGTTTATATTTGGACGGTAGTCCCCGAGTGGGAGTGATCGATTGAATTCGGATTAAGGCGGCCCTTGGGCTCGATACCATTAGGGGATCGGATGTAGGAAATTCCTTAAGAAATGAAAAAAGAAATTTTTTTAAAGAACAATATGTTTATCCGCAAGGTAGAGACTTCTTTTTATTCTTGTGCGTAATATTACATATGTGTACAAGCTTTGTGCCAGGGCTCGAGCAGTCTATGAGAGCATGGTTCATTTGACCGTTTGACCCTTATAGTAAATCCTATCGATTGAGCCGAGACCGTTCAACCACAAAGTCTCTGTCCTTGCTAAAGTCGTTATCCAAGAGTAATGCCCCCCAGTGTCCGAAGTTGATCACAGGGAAGCCTCAGATACTGTTGATGTGATCTTTGACACCGATTCATGATCGGCCTTCGATTCTAAGTTAGCACGATCCACAGTGTCCTTGTTAAAAACCTTGCCGGAAAACCCATTTGGGACAAAATTGGTTCAAGGAAAAAAGAGTGCAACACGTGCTTTTAGATCCAAAATTTTGTATTGTTCCTTGTTAGCTACCTGCAAGCGTTAGTTCAAAATGTAAATAAAATAAAGAATGGCGCCATACCTTGGCAGTAATATCGTTTCAAATGAGTCATATTCCAGTTGTTCGGTAGTTGCTCGCCATTCATTGTTCCGAGTTTGTAGGATCCCTTTTCGATGATCTCGATAATTTGGTACGGTCCTTCCCAATTCGGCCCCAACTTCCCTTCGTTCGGGTTTCGGGTGCTCAGTGTGACCTTCCTTAGTTCTAAGTCCCCGGTATTGAAGTGTCGAAGGTTGGCCTTTCGATTGTAATATTCCCGATCCGCTATTTTTGGACGGCCAACCGGACAAGGGCAGCTTCGGCCTTTCATGTAATAGCTCCAGGCTTGTACTCATGGCCTCGTCATTCGATTCTTTTGTTGCATATCGGAATCTGATACTTGGTTCTCTAACTTCGACCGGTATTAGAACTTGGGCGCCATAAACCAATGAAAACGGGGTGGCCCTGGTACTGGACTTCGAGGTCGTACGGTATGCCCATAGGACTTCGGGTAGTATTGCCTTCCATTTTCATTTGGCATCGGTTAACCTCTTTTTAAGGTTTTGGAGTATGGTCTTGTTGGTCGATTCTGCTTGTCTGTTCCCACTAGGGTGATAAGGTGTTGATAAGATCCTTTTGATCTTATGATCTTCGAGAAACTTGCTTATTTTACTGCCGATAAATTATTTTCCGTTGTTGCACACGATCTCGGACGGCATTCCGAACCGGCATATGATGTGGTCCCAAATGAAATCGATAACTTTTTTCTCCTTGACCTTCTCGTATGCCTAGGCTTCCACCCACTTAGAAAAATAATCAGTCATAAATAATATAAATTGAGCCTACTGGGTGCTCATGGAAGAGGGCCAACGATGTCCATTTCCCACTTCTTGAACGGCCATGGTGACAAAATCGAATGCAGCAGCTCCTTGGGTTGGTGAATCATCAGAGCATGTCTTTGGCATTCATCACATTTTCGTATGAACTCCCTCGCGTCCTTTTCCATCTCAATCCAGTAGTAACCGACTTTGATTACCTTTCGAACCAATGATTCGGTGCCTGAATGATTTCTGCAGGTGCTCTCGTGATCTTCCCTCAGAACGTACTCGGTATCTCCCGGTCCCAAACATATCGCTAATGGGCCATCGAACGTTCTTCTTAACAAGGGGCTACCTTCGTACGTAGGGCCCTCGATTCTTTTGGATCCGAGGGCAATTTTCCGGTCTTCAAATATTCTATATATTTGTTTCTCCAATCCCAAGTTAGGCTTGTTAAATTTATCTCGACGTGGCCTTCTTCCACTACCGATCTCATGTATTGTACGACTACCCCTGAGTTGAGCTCGTCGTCCTCGACCGACAATCCTAAGTTAGCAAGGGCATCGACTTCGCTATTTTGATCCAATGGTACGTGTTGCAAAGTCCACTCCTTGAACCGATGTAATGTTACTTGCAA